CCAGCTCAGCGCAGCCCTTGTACTTCAACATACACGGCTCCTATGCCCTGTGACAACATGGGCCATGAACATCATCACTGACCCCAGCTGCATGTTGGTGCCCGAGAGCCATATTGTCATCGGGGGGGGGCACACTGATCTGAGTGCCCTGTGTTGTCACCTGTGGAGGGCCAAAAATGTAAGCCTATTTCCACCTTGTCTGAGGGTCAGAGAGTTTGAGTTTGCTCAAAACTGTTGACGACAACCTAGGCTATACATCCTCACCTAGGGTGTGATTACTTGGGTTTTTGTTTTGTTTTTTGTTTTGTTTTGTTTTGTTTTGTTTTTGACATTAAGATGGCCCATACAGGTAGATCCACTCCACCCTGACCAATGGTCAGGAAATTCAAGCATACTTCTGCTTCTTTCGAAATAGGAGGTTTGACCTCAGGAGTGGCTGTCTTCAGAATACTTGGTCTAGGGTGGGTTCACTGCCTAAACAAAAGAATGCTAATGACTTGATGTCTCAAAGAACTGAAGCAAGTAACTGTCCTAATTGTCCCACCTTACCCTAATGACAACACGTAACTACAAGTGTGAGGACTGTCTGGTAACACAGGGGTAGGGCTGTCCTTCCTATATCTATCTGTCTTGCCTTTTAGAAACAGCTTCTACTGTCCTGGCCTCTACACCAGAGAACCGTACGTATGATGGCTGTGGGCTTATACTAGTGTAGGATTCTCCATCATCTTTCTGTCTTACCTTTAAGAAACAGCTTCTACCTTCTTTCCCTGCTACCAGAGAACAGCACATGTGAGGCCTGGGGGCTTATACTGGGGTAAGAATGGCCATCCTATGTCTGTCTTAACTTTTAGAAACAGCTGTTACTGTTCACTCCTGTGATGATTGACTTGCATGTGTGAGAAGTGTGGGTGTAAAGTGGGGTGTGGAACTGTTTGTCCTATATTCCTGTCACCTTATAAAAACTGCTTCCACGTTCAATTCCTCTGACAGAACCGCATGTGTGAGGCCTGTGGGCTTATCCTGGTATACTATTGTCCATTCGTCTATCTGTCCTTGTAAGCAGTGCCGCTCAGATGGAAAGGGATCTTGGCAGTTGGAAGGCAAGGAATACTGCGTGTTACAGCTCGAGTTGAACAGGCTCTGGCAGTTGGGAGCCAGGTAATAGCACAGATCACAGAAAGCATGGCAGCTTACAGCCCTGTTCTGGGCTTCCCTGATGTAACAGCTCTGCGCAGGAAGGAGAGGGCTTCTGCAGCTAAGTTGTTACAGTTCCTCCGGTGCCTGAAAGTGTAACTACTCGGCTCTGCTAGAGGAAGCTGTTAACAGTCCTGCTCTGCTCAGCTCCTCTGCTATGTTCTGTTCCTCCATCTCAGCTCTGGTGAAAGAAGGTCATCACTCAGACCTCATTCAAGAGGTTTATTGGGGGGAAGAATCCAAGAGAGTTGCTGCCTGGAAGAAGGGCAGCAGCAGACTGAACAGGTGCAGGGCTGATATAGGGCTTGTTAGCGGTGGAGTTTTTCCTGGGAGAAGATTTTCAGGGAGGGACTTGATCAGATTTTAGTTCCTTGCACCCAGATTGGCTACATCTCTGCTCAGGGGTTGGTTGGTTTTATGCTCAGAGATTAGTTGGTTTTCTCCTTAGTTGCCTTAGTTAGTCAGGGACAGATTTGGCTCTGGTTTCAAGGCCAAAGTGTGTTTCCTTCACTGGCCTTTTATTTTATTTTATTTACCTTTTTGACCCTAGTTTGGGGGCCGGGGCACATTTCTTTCACTGGCTCTGATTCTAGGGTCAAAGTGTGTTTCTTTGGCACTGGTTTCAGAGTTAGGGTATATTTCTTTGGTTCTGGGTTCAGGGTTAAAGCATTTCTTTCACTGGTTTCGGTCTTAGAACCAGGTGTGTTTCTTTCACTGGCTCTGGCTTCAGAGCCAGGGTGGGTTTGTTTGGCTGGCTGGCCCTTTTGCCGTACAGGTAGAGTGTGTTTCTTTGACAGGCCCTTTTACCCTACAGTATTACCTTTTAGAAACAGCTTCTAACTTCACCTCATGCCACCAAAGAACTACATAACTATATAAAGACTGTTGGCTGATAGTGAGGTAGCACCATCCATCTGCTATCTGTCTTACCTTTTAGAAAAAGCTTCTACGTTCCTCGACTGTCACCAGAGAACTGCATGTGTGAGGACCATGGGCTTATACTGGGGTATAACTGTCCATCCTGTATTTGTCTCACCTTTAACAAATATCTCCTACCTTGTGCTCTTGCCACCCAGTAACTGTGTGTGTGAGGACTGTGGGCTTAGACTGGGCTAGGACTGTCCATCCTGTATCTCTCTTACCTTTTAGAAAAGCTTCTACCTTCCTCATCTACGACAAGAGAATTGCATGGATGAAGACTGTGGGCTTATACTGAGGGCAGGACTGTCCTCCTGTATCTGTCTTACCTTAAAGAAACAGCTCCCGTCTTCCACTCATCTAAGGAGAACTGCATGTGGGAGGAATTTGGGTATATAGTGGGGTAGGACTGTCCAATGTACATCTGTTTTAGCTTTTGGAAGCAGCTGGTATCTTCTTCTCCTGTGACTAGAGAACTGCGTGTGTGAGGAGTCATGGCTTATTCTGGGGTTGGACTGTCCATCCTGTATCTTTCTTGCCTGTTAGAAACAGTGTCCACCTTCCTCTCCTGCCACCAGAGGACTGCCCATGTGAGTGTATGCTTGCTTAACTTCTCTGCTTTCATGTCCTTTTCTCTTTCTTGTTTCAGGTGTCCCTTCACTTCCGTTGTAGAGTTTCAAAACTCTCTCTCTCTCTCTCTCTTTTCGAGACAGGGTTTCTCTGTAGCTTTGGAGCCTGTCCTGGAACTAGCTCTTGTAGACCAGGCTGGCCTTGAACTCTCAGAGATCCTCCTGCCTCTGCCTCCCGAGTGCTGGGATTAAAGGTGTGCGCTACCACTGCCCAACCTCTTCCTCTTTCTTTTGGTGGAGTGTGGCTCATTTTTTCTCAACCTATCCCTCTTCTTCACTTACTCACACAGAGATATCCCCTATTCAGTCGTTTTCCCCAGATGTCCTCCAAGCTGGACCTTAAAAAAAAAAACTATGAAAAGAGAGATGCAAAAGGAAATGCTGCCTCTTCTGATTAACTCTCAGTGTGGCAAAATAGCAGGAAAATTTCTCATCATAAACCATCATCACATATCTTTGGAATTCATATTAACACTACAAGGATTGTCCAGTTAAGAGGCTGGGGAGACACCTCAGTAGGTAAAGTGCTGTTTTTTTTCACAGTACATCTCTCTATGTCAACTTCAGAATGCCATAACACGTGCTAAAGGTTAAGAGTTATCCTCCTAACGTTGTATCCTTAACCAAAGTCTCATTTAAGAATGAAGTTACAGTAGACACATCTCTGGACTTCCAGGAAGTTCTTTCAAGGAAAGCTCCATTGCAACAGCTGCTGAGGAGCAGTCACACGCTATGAGTGCCTTCAGCTATGTATGACCTGAACTGCATAGAGCTGATGTCCCCAAGATCACACATTTCCAAATAGACCACCTCCACCACTGGTCCAGGTGAGTGTAGCAGTGCCGTTTGTTCTACATAAACAGACCATGTTAATTCCAGCATTGTTTGGGGGATCAAAGAATACTTTGTTTGAACTATATCAATGATACACAACTGCTTCTGCCAACACTGAACTCTTTCTGTCTCTTTGTCCTTTCCTTCGGCCTGTGTTCTGAATAAATTTCATACATACTAAATTCCAGATGGACGGCATCTTCCTCAGAACTCATGTTTGTTTGTATTTTAGTATTTTGGTACACACACACACACACACACATTTAGAAATATATATGTATTTAGAAATATATATATGTTTAATAATATATGTAATGTGTGTGGACATATATATCTATTTATACATGAATATGTAAATATATAAACACACTTTTACACACATATATACATATTTAGAAATATATAAGCATTTAGGAATATATAATATCTAGATATATGTGTCCATTTACATACATTAATATATATGAATATAGATATACATTTACACACATGTATTTAAAAATATATAAGCATTTATAAATACATATAATTACATGTATATACATACATAAATATATATGAATATATAGAAACACACATAAAGTACATTATGTCTCTTTCTGTGTGGAACAACAAAGAAGAACAGGTCGTGAATATGAGTGTGAAAGCATGAATTTGAGAGAGGGGAAGAGCCATGGGAGGAGTTGGAGAAAGAAATGGAAGGGGAAATGATATTATTTTAACTTCAAAAAATAAAATATATTTTATTATTTTTAAAAAGAGTGAGTAGGGCTGGAGAGATGGCTCAGTGGTTAAGAGCATTGCCTGCTCTTCCAAAGTTCCTGAGTTCAATTCCCGGCAACCACATGGTGGCTCACAACCATCTGTAATGAGGTCTGGTGCCCTCTTCTGGTCTGCAGACATACACACAGAATATTGTATACATAATAAATAAATAAATAAATAAATAAATAAATAAATAAATAAATAAATAAAAAGAGTGAGTCATGGCCCAAACCTGCTTAATATAAGAGACTTGAATTGCTGAACTCAGGCTCTTGAAAGGTGTCAGAACTGGTATGTGCTCTTTAAGGATTCTTTTCTTTCGGGTGTCTTTCAAAGCCATAATGGTGTGACACCAGTCCCCTGACATGATCCTATAATGCTACAATGTGCCCATGGGTGTCTTTCTCTCATAGAGAAATTAGAAGGGTCCAGGGTTCCAATTGCCAACCAGAAGATTAGCAAATCATTGAGTTCCTATTCTGATTGGGTAACATGTCACCAGGCTTAGGAACCATCCAATCACACTCAATATGTATAGTGGTTTTCTAACAGGTTTGTTGTCCAATCAGATGTCGAGTTGGTCTGTCACGCGTCGTAATGTCTCATGCATAGTATGTCACTAGCCTCACAAACTGCCATCTTCTGACTTATCTGTTCATGGCGACTTCCTCGGTCTCTGTGACAGGTGCCTCAGATATGGACACTGTGCAGGAGTCAACCTCTGCGGAGGAGCCAACGGCTGTGGACGACCAAGCCTCTGATACATCTGAGGAAGCTGTCAAGGTCCGAAAGCCTAAAAAAGCTACCTCAAAGAAGGAGAAGCAGCAGCCGAAGAAGTCAAAGAAACCAGAGAAGCGCTGCCGCCGCTCTCTTCGGCTTCTCCAGCGCCAACGCATGAAGGAAAACGAGCTTAGAGTAGCCCGTCTCATCAGACGCCGTAGGAACAGCTTCGCCATCTACTTTCCCAAGGTGCTAAGACTTGTCCATGTGGATCTCACCCTGTCCCAGAGGTCTGTGAGCATCTTGGATTCGTTCGTAAAGGATATGTTTGAGAGAATCGCGATGGAAGCAAGCAACTTGGCCCGTCAGAATAAAAGCACGACTATCAACTCCAGAGAGATCCAGACTGCAGTACGCCTTCTACTCACGGGAGAGATGCGTGAGCGAGCAATAGCTGAAGGTACCATGGCCATGGTCCGGTACATCTCCACCAAGTGAATGGCTTCAACTTCTTCAAAACCCAAAGGCTCTTTTTAGAGCCACCCCTTCTCCTAAGAGAGCTGTAGCATCAGTTTGAGTTTGACCTCAGGAACCCCCCCACTCCTTCTTTAAGCATCCCAAATTAACTTAATAAAATGTTGCTTGTTAGTATATATGTCGACTCATGATTTATTTGGGGTTACATCGGGAAAGTGGTAGTTTTTAAAATTAGGTTGTAGTTTGTCACTTTTTCATTTTATTGAAAATATAAAGCAGTTCATCCGGTAATTGATGGAAGCAGATGCAGAGATCCACAGACTAGAACTGGGCGGAGCTCCAGGAGTCCAGTTAAAGAGAGGGAGCAGGGGTTATATGAGCAAGGGAGTCAAAATCATGACAGAGAAACCCACAGAGACAGCTGAACGGAGCTCATGGGAGCTCACAGACTCTGGACTGCCAGCCAGGGGGCCAGCAAGGGACCTAGGTTCTCTGTTTCTGGGTGACAGTTGTGTAGCTTCATCTTTTGTGGGATCCCTGGCAGTGGGACCAGGGCTATGATGCATGTACTGGTTCTTTGGAGGCTATTCCCTATGGTGGGATGATTTGTCCAGCCTCGATACAAAGGGACAGAGCATGGTCCTGCCTCAACATGATATGCCTTGCTTTGTTGTCTCCCATGGGAGGCCTTACCCCATCTGAATGGAGATGGAGAAAGAGAGGATAAGGGTAGAAGGGAGGTAGGGGAGGGAACAGGAGGAGCAGAGGGAGGGTTAACTGTGGTCAGTGTGCAAAATAAATAAATACATAGGTACGTAGGTAGGTAGATAAGTAGGTAGATGATAGATAGAAAATATAAGATAGGACAGCCAGACACTTTTCTTTTTAAAAAATCTATCTATCATCTATTTATCATCTACCTACCTACCTGTTATTATTGTAATAAACCTGATTATAATAATAATCTGTAATAATCTGATTATGATTCCCCTCCCTCTACTCCCCCTCATTCTCCCCATATCCCCTTCCATCTGGATCAATAGAAAGCAGACTTCTGAGGTATTATAACATATAACATAATATTAATATAATAATATAATTATTATAATATATAATATACTATATAATATATATGCATTGTATGTAATATATATACTATACTATATAACAACCTCGACCGAACAATGGATAAGGAAAATGTGGCACATTTACACAATGGAGTACTACACAGCAGAAAAAATAGCGACAGCTTGAATTTTGCAGGAAAATGGATGGAGCTAGAAAACATCATTGTGAGTGAGGTAACCCAGACACAGAAAGACAATTATCACATGTACTCACTCATAGGTGGTTTTTAAACATAAAGCAAAGAAAACCAGCCTACAAACCACTATCCCAGAAAACTTAGAAAGCAAGGAGGCCCCTAAGAGGGACATATATAGCTACATAGGAAGTAGAAGACAATATCTCCTGAGTAAATTGGGAGCATGGGGACCTTGGGATGAGGGTATATGTCGGCTTCTCTTTTCAGCTCTTGGGCCCCAACTGGTGCAGGCCCATACAGGCCTTGTTCCTGCTGCCTCAGTCTCTGTGACTTCATATGTGTGCATATCATCTTAATTTAGAAGGCCTTGTTTTCTTGGCGTCCTCTACCTCCTCTGGATCATACAATTTCTTCTGTTCCTTCTTCGACCAGGACCAACTTCCCGGAGCCATGAGGGTAGTAATTTGATGGAGACATCTCATTTCTAGCAGATTGCTCCAAGGTCTCTCACTCTCCACATATGTCTGGCTGCGAGTCTCTGTATTTGCTCCTAGTTGCTGCAGGAGGAGGCTTCTCTGATTCCAGATGAGCCAGCAACTGATCTAGGAGAATAGAAGAATACCATTAGGCATCATTTTTTTTTATCACAGGTATTGTGGCACAGATGTGCAGGTTCATGTGGGTCCATGAAATGAAGACTTGGAAACACTTTGAGAACGAACTTAGCCTTAGGCAGCAGGGGTCCCCAGCCTCAGTGAACTGAAGCGTGTTCCTTATGCCTTCAGCATTTTTATTTTTCCCTATATGTACACTTTAGCCAGAACATTTCCATAAGCTCAAAACAACCTGAATGAAGCTTCCAAATACACAATGCCAAGTGCAAATACCTGGATTCAGAAGGTACCATGGTTTTCTGGGTTTCCTTCCTTGTATCCATGGGAAACTCTCAGACAAGATTCACATAGGGCAACTAAAGGTCTCTGTAACACAAAGGGTGGATTAGGGCTGGGTGCTAACTCTGGAGCTAAAGTAAGCCAGGTATGGCCAAGCAGGTTTTATGGTTAGTATGGGGGGGTTGCTTGTTAATCCTCTGGTGCCAGGCTGGTAGAAAATTCTGCCACAGATTTCCCCCTCCTTTGTACAAAATTTAATTATTTCGAAGGTTATGCACCCTCAAAGTATATACAGTTTTTTTTCTCTCTATCTGTCTTACAATCTTACATAAGTAGGTCAAAACACATTTTAAAACTAGTAAGCCTACTATTGTTAGGACAAGAACAGCACCTGCTACATTAGAAGTTCTGTTAAAGTGATTCATGGGGTTGAATGAAACTATGGTATCCGCAAGACTTTCCATACTATCCATTCCTGTCATATCAGGTAACTTTTTTTGTAAAAGTCTCCCTAATTTCTTTCTGCAAATCATAGAACATTTGAGAAGAATTAAGGAGATGCAACAAATGCATCTTAACCTTATCCCAATCACACTTGTTTTCCTTAAATCTCAAGGGTGTAATATAAGAAGAAACATTCTAATCACATTTTAATTTTATCTGCTCCTTCAAAATTTCCAACTAATCTCCTAACAATATAACAATTTGCCTTAACTCAGCTAATTCATTCACTATCTCATTATCAATTTTATTTTGTGCAGTCCAAAGTTCTGGTGAACGTTTGTGCCACTCTCTAACTTCAACAGTTTGGCTTTCTTCATGAAGCGCCAGTCTAGCTGTCGCTGCTGTAGCCGTCAATGCTACTATGATCCCCAAGATAATTACAACAACCAGTCCAACCGTTCAGCATGTTCTTTTCAATAGCCTCTCAGTGAACTTGTGCACAAGATCATCCCAGGAGAGTCTTGCCATGGCCTCAACCACCTCACTGGTATCCAGATTGCCAGCCTTGCTCTTAGAATATATAAACTCTTAAAAGTCAAATTTAAAACATACTAGAGTTTGCTGGGTGGGTGCACATCTTTAATCCCAGCACCCGAGAGGCAGAGGCAGGCGGATCTCTGTGAGTTTGAGGCCGGCCTGGTCTACAAGAGTTAGTTCCAGGGCAGGCTCCAAAGCTGCAGAGAGATCCTGTCTCGAAAAAAAGAAAAAAAAGAAAAAAGAAAAATAAAAAACTATACTAGAGTTAACACAGGTATGAAGGGTAGAACGTTCACAAGTGATGCTGTAATTTTTAGGGTTCTATTTTAACAGGTCCTTTCAAAATATATATATATATCAGAAAAGGATGGATGATTTAGTCTAATTCTTTTTTCTCTTATTTTCTCTGTTGATTTTATTTTATTTTTTTATTTTTTTGAAAGTAATTTTATTAAATTATAAAAGTTTCCATTTCCGCCCCTCCTCCCAACACCCTCCCACTTCCCCCACTCCCTCTCCTCCTCCCTCTCCATCCCTAAGAGCAGTCTGGGTTTCCTACCCTGTGGGAAGTTCAAGTTCCTCCCCCCTCCCTCCAGGTCCAGGAAGGTGAGTATCCAAACAGACTGGATCCCCAAAATCCAGTATATGCAGAGGAAACAAGTCCCAGTGTCACTGTCAATGGCTTTTCAGAAAGAGTCCGGGCCAGCCACATTCAGAGAATCCGGCCACATTCAGAGAATCTGGTTGGATCACGTCCTCGTTCAGTCCCAGTCCAACTGGCCTTGGTGAACTCTCATTAGATCAGTCCCCTTATATCAGTGGGTGATCGCATCCTTCACAGTCCTGATTTACTTTTTCATTTTCTTCCTTCTTCTGCTCCTCATTTGGACCTTGGGGGCTCAGTCCGGTGCTCCAATGTGGGTCTCCATTTGTATTGCCATCCATCAACAGATGAAGGTTCCCTCTGGTCTTGCCTTCTTTGTTCACGTTCTCTTTCCTTCTGCTTCTCGTTTGGACCTAGGGAGTTAAGTCCAGTGTTCCAATGTGGGTCTCTGTCTCTATCTCCATCCATCGCCAGATGAAGGATCTATGGTGATAAGCAAAATATTCATCAGTATGGTTATGGGCCAAGGTCGGTTCAGGCACCCTCTCCTCTGTCCAGAGAACAATCTGGGGATCTCTCCTTGGACCTGGGATCCCATATATAATCAAGTCTCCTGTAAACCCTAAAATGACTCCCTTAGTTGAAATATATTCTTCCCTGATCCCATATTCATCCTTCCTCCCTCCCCCCCATTCCGGTCCACCGAGCTTTCCCCATTCCTCCCCTACTCCCTTTTCTCTAACCCTCTCCCCTTCCAACAACCCTCCCACATCCCCATGCACCCGAAGTTACCTGGGACTCTTGTCTGTTTCCTATCTCCTGGTGGATAGCTAAATAATCTTCATCAGGTTCATCTTCTTATTTAGCTTCTCTAGGATCACGAATAATAGGCTCAAAGACCTTTAATTATGGTTAGAATCCATTTATGAGTGAATACATACCGTGTTCCTCTTTTTGGGTCTGGCTTACCTCACTCAGTAAAGCGTTTTCTATTTCCATCCATTTGCATGCAAAATTCAAGATGTCATTGTTTTTTACCGCTGAGTAAAACTCTAATGTGTATATGTTCCACACCTTTCTTAACCATTCTTCTATTGAGGGGCACCTAGGTTGTTTCCAGGTTCTGGCTATTACAAATAGTGCTGCTATGAACATAGTTGAACAAATGCTTTTGTAGTATGTTAGGGAATCTCTAGGGTATATTCCCAAGAGTGGAATTGCTGGGTCCTGAGGGAGGTTGACTCCCAGTTTCCTGAGAAACCGCCACACTGATTTCCAC